CAGAAAAACTTTGCCCAAAAATAAAAAAAATGCATCACCAAGGCTGAGCTTTTTTTTTAGCCTCTTGCAGGATTAGTTGCATTCTTCTCTGATTTGCAACCCTTTCATTCAGGGCGCCAGACAGAGGATTCTTATTCAGAGGCAGAAAAAGATTAGCGGAAAAAGTCTGACTTCCGGAAATATTAGCTGCACCATTTTGCCAGACAAAGTCCAACTTTGCCCTAGGCAACCTGGCTTGGCTTTTGTGGCCTTCAGGAAAAATGAAACGCGAGACCACCCGAGAAAATCCTGACTTTGCCGTGCAATGGAAAGGAACCCTTTGCCGTCCAAGGGTTAAGGGACTCCCTTCTGGAGGATCCGGCCTATTATTAAAAGCTGAACGCGTTTTCCTTTTATTCCAACATTCTTTGTCATTACCGGCCTGACAATAAGGACCATCAAAGGTTTTAAGAGTCCAGAAAGCATGATATATATCCCAATCCTTGGGGAACAGAAATTTGCATTTTGAAAAGCAACATTTTTGCACAATAGAAGACAATTGACGCTGTTCTTCATATATCTATACAGAGACAAAATGAGTATTTTTATTTCCCAACATGAGTTATTCGAACCTCAACAGAATGAATAATATGAATTCAATCACTATAAATACATTTCAACCCATATTGAGATCATGAAAATTGTTGATCAAAAATAACAGTGGAAACTCTTCTTTCAATGTCATGGAAATAGAATAAATGAAAACATTTTCAATGTCTTGTAGGAATTTGGAAAGCATATAGAATGAAACACTAATCTTCATGTCCATCAAAACAAATTTCAAATAAATTTTAAGTGTAATTGGATTCACGCATGAAATGGCATTTGAAATTTTTTTTGAACTCCCCAGGAATTGATATTGATGATGGAAATGTTAAATCGCTTCTTGAATGAGTAACCATCACAACTAGAGCCCATTTTTAATTCTTTGTCAGAGGCAAGGGTCATGAAAGTCGAAATCACAAAAGAAAACTTTCTTCACCAACACCTCACAGATGCAAATGTTGACTACAAGAGAGTGTTGGCCAAGGATTAGAAATGAAAATAGCCCCAAAAATGAACATCAATCTCTCTTCAAGTCAAGGCATTCTTTGCAGAAAGGGGGGGGGGGTGAAATCTAGAATCAGCATAAGCAAGTGATTAATCACCTGAACACGTGAGCTATCCTCTGATGTCCATGTATACAGTATATCCTATCTTCTGAACCTTGGGTAACTTGGAAAGTTTGAAGATTTGTATCTTTCTTTTTGGTGTGAATTCCGCAGTTGTCACAGATATTTATCTTAGCATGTTTCCAGATGATGATGAATCAAGGAAAAAGAAAGAGGTCATCAACTAGGCAATATAGGGTGATCCTTGATAACATTTTCAAATTTATTAGTTTTCCTAATTTCCTGAATCCTCAATATTTTGAATGGTTTTTAAAACAGCTGCTTCATCTGTTATTGGAACATGTACAGTGTACAGTGAGCCCCGCACAACGGACCTCCAGTTCAACAGATCTTCACAAAACAGACTGCCTCTGGAAGTCTGGAGTCAGTTTTCTGTCCTGCACAATATGGACTAAATCTGCATAATGGACCTCTCTTGGTTTAAAATCGAAGGGAAAAGTAAAAGTTTTCAGTTTTGTAATACAGTAAATGAACTTGCATAACAGACTAGTCTTTTCCCTGAATTAAGTCTGTTGTGCGGGGTTGACTGTACAAGTGCCTGCTGACGAGCTTGCAAATTATTTTATTTAAAAAACTGTATTCATTTTTTTCATGTCACAACTTCCCATGCTGACCTACACAAATCACTCAACTGTTCCCTGCAAAAAATGAGATTTCGGCAAAACCAAGAAAATAAGCCGAAAATATTCACGATGAAAAAACATGAAGATAACATGATATAGTAATGGTTTTTGGTTGAAAGAAATGACAGAAGCAGAAGCCGAATTTAAATTGCCCAAAATGTTGAATTCCTCTTCAAATTCCCATTTGTATTCCCAATGTTGAATTAACTGCATAAAATTGAAAAAGCATGATTTAATCAATAAATTGATTTTTGGTGGTAATTCTGTCAAAAAGAGATTTAGAGGACATCTTTGCGCATGCAATGCTGTAAAATATTTGAAAATCGGTTCAGAATTCAATTTTTGTCAAATATCCAAAGTTTAGTAATTGAGAAATATTTTTGGAAATTTTGAAAAAATTAAAATTTTTAACATGTAATTCTACGGCAGATCCCCTATTGGTTAATGAACCAACCAGTTAACAAACCAGTTTGTGGAACAAATTAAGTTTTTTTAACCTTGGCTTGATTGTATTTTGGTGTTTTATGCTGATGATCCTCATGACTTTCAGTTTCATCCTCTCAAAAAAGGTAGTTGGTTCAAAGAAAATTGTGGCCAAATGCAGGTTTGTTGTGTAAAACTATTGCTGCTTGTACAGTAGTGTGTTCAATGCTCAATGTCCCATTTGACCTATGAAATGATTCCATGAAAATATGAAGGAGAGTACTAAGTCACATTTAACATTAATATTGTATGACTAACTTTTTCAAAAGGGATATTCCTCTGTTGAGACTCAGAAATCTTTCTCCTCATATATTCCAACAATCTAAAAGAAACTGTTTATCTCATCTTCTTGCTTTTTGAATCATGTCTGAAACTCTATTTTATCCAAGACCTCTTTTACTTTACAGGAAGTGAAGATAACCCTTTTACTCACCACTCCATCCAGCATCCCCCACAGAAAACTCCAACCCAGAACACATGAAACACTCACTCTTTTTACTCAAGGGACAAACTATGTAGTGCTCATTGCTCAAGAAACTATGGGACTTTCTTTTTCATTTATTGAGTCAATAATAAAATTCAGAGGAGTAAAAGTCATATATCTAGCAACAAAGGTATGAATAACTCTTTTTTGACAAGTATACAGTGGCCCCCCGCCTAACAGACCTCCCATGTAAGGGATTTTTGCCAAACAGACCAGCTCTGCAAGCAGTTTTCCTCCCGCCCAACAGACAAAATCCGCCAAACAGACTTCTTTTGGTTTGAAATTAGTTTTGAAAATTGAAATTTTTAATTTTTTATGTAATTGAATTTGTGTAAAGGACTTTTTGTCTAACAGACTTGTCCCTTGCATGAATCAAGTCCATTAGACGGGGGTTGACTGTAATTGTCACTATATACAGTAAAAAGACTTCAGAAATTTCATCTCACATGTATCCAAGTATTTAGTTTTGAAACTGCATTTTTCTCATCTTTACACTCATAAAATCCCACTTGAAACTCAATTTTGTAAAAGACCCCAGGCACAAGTGATCAAAACTCTTTTACTCCTCACTCCTTCCACCCATCCACAAACATACACACACATTTATAACACAAACCCCCCAACAGAAGACACCCTGAGTCTTTTTTTCTTTCTTCTCGAGAAAAATAAAATAATGAAGGGGGTGCCGGTGGGTTTCCCTGCCCTCAGGAAATGGTTTTCGAGCTGGACCCTGCGGATAGATAACTCCTGCCCATGTTTCCAAAGATATGTCGTCATCTGCAACTATGCATCATCCCCCTTCCCCCCCTGCGAGGGCAAAAGCCAACAATAGATACAAGGGACAGCACACAAGAGTAAAAAATAAAAATGAAGGAAGAATAAGAAGCTGGAAGAGAAAGGAAACTAAATACGACGGATGGCAAGGAAAAAAAATGATCGGTTGCTGTGATTGATTGTTGGTTTATGGAATTTTCCGTGTCCGAGGGGCGAGCTGAGGATGAAAAAAGGAAGAGAATAAGGGATCATGGGTGTGACCGGAAGCTGGGCGATGAATGGCCGTCCGGCCAACGACCTGCTACCTTGATGATGGACTGTCCCTCTGCTGTGAATCGCTTTCTGCGCGTTCTTGCCATTTGATTCCATTATTTTGCAAGATTTCTGCTGAAGGATGATGATGAGGAACTCTTTCGACGAGGCAGGATCAAATGTCAAATTCAAATCAGGTTCAGATCGATCCTAAGGGTTATAACTAAGACTACCAACACAGTTTTTTTTTAAACTGATTTTTCTCTTTTAATTTTGGCTCTGGCAAAAAATGTACACTTTCTTGCATCTATATTTTCTTTTGTCCTAAATTAATTGTATGAAATTACAAAATGGGGTTTGAGAATAACATAACATGTTTCTGATACTTGTGTTTTCAATCTGTAGTCAAGGATTATTCTGATGCATGCATTGATCCATGTTATTCCTATAGGAATTGAGCCCTCAGTCATTTTCATGCCTCACTATTTTCACAGGGATGTGTGTGAAAGAATGTTTGTGTGATGTTCAGCATATGGACAAAAAATCCAAATTATTTCACTTGAAGTTTTATACTTTGTGTTTTTTATTTTTATTTTGCCTTGGGGGTTTATTGAATGGTTGAGTTAATCCATTGAAGATTTCTGAACTTTTCAGAATCTTCCAATTGGACTGCTGTTAGATGGCAGTCCACACTAATTAAATATTCAAAATGCTTGCCTGTCTCTTTCAGCCAATCAGGTTTGATGGAGGCAAACAGTTGATTGTCATTCCTGCAAGAGGCAAGGAGGGAGGAAGTATCATCAGACATTTTCAAGAACTTCAGACATTACAATGCCAGCTTTGACTTGAGTTGGTTTTGCAAATTTTTTTTTTGTGATCAGTGAATTAATTTGGGGTGGAGAAATACAGTTATTTTCTCATCTTTTGGGATTTCTTGAAGAAATCCCCAGCTGAACCCCACAGCTGATTATCTGTGTTTTATTTTCAAGTCCACTTGATTTTCAGCCTCCTTTTGTGATCTTCCTTCACAGATGTATTGTAACATGATTTTTGTGCACTTTTACTGTTAGGGGCAGCAGTACACCATTAGTATTTCATTATAAAAGAAATGCCCCTTGTCACGGGTTGACTAGATGTTGCCCCCGCATGCCCCAATTAACTCGGGACAACCAGATGCCGCCCAAGTCAGCACAACAACAGAATGTACAAGAGTACAACGTGGCGTACAAAACGCTGCATCATCCTCGTAACTCGGAGAAAAGTATTCCTGAAAAAGAAGTAAGTATTAATAAATTATTATTTTATTTTTAGAAAAGAAACAAGATTCCTTAATCATAGTCCACAATAATGGGTGAATCAGAATTTGTATGATTGTAGTACATATAGCCAAATATAATCTGCATGCTTACAAATAACAATTGGACACACTGGCAGAAAGCCTTGAGGAAACTTTCCACCAGAGGAGGACCTGAGCCTGCTCCTTTCAGTGTGAAATATTGTCACTTATCATCTGAGCTCCAGAGAGAACAGACTGAGTATTTTTGTGTGCTGAAAATCCTCTTGTAAATTTGTTGTTGGAAGTTTGAAGAACATACCCAAGGAGTTGAGGTATTTACCTCAGGCCACAAACGGCCGATTGAGACTACATCATTTCATAACTCGATTCAATTGAACCAAAATATTAATCTTGGTCACTGAGGCTCATTAGCCTCTGACACCCCTATCAAGAAAAAGCTGTACTTGCTATACCCAAAGGCCTCAGAACCAAAAACCAGTCCAAATTTTCAAAGGACTAATAAATACAATAATGCCATGCATCATGTTTGATCCTGGCAAAATCAGCCAATCAGAGGCCAGTATTAATGCCTTATTCTGGCCTTGTGAGAAATTAAATCTCTTCCTCAAAGCTGAAGGACAAAATATACTAGAATTAAGAATTTAAAGTAATGAATCAAGTTTTTATGAATATAAGTTATTTGATTATACAGAGGTTTGGAAGCTATAAATAAATCAGCACAATTATAAACAGCCACGCTGCCAGGACCTTGTACATCTTATTTTGACATTGTTATATTTTTGAGCTTGGTAAATTCACAACAGAGGAAAGTTCAAGCTTCCAACTCAAATTTTTAGATTCAGTTTTGCTTTGAAATCATAAAAAAAACTTCAATGCTTGGACATAAGCTTGGAATTCCAAATGGGGCACAATTGGTGATAATGAGAAAGAGTTAGATACCAGGAACGTTTTTTATTTAAACAATGAAGGAAAATTTTAAGGAGAAGGGGGTTTCTGTCAGAAATGTCCTTGCTAAGTCTGGGAACCCAACTGGGGTTTGTTTCACAAGGCTCAGGAAAGGGAATTACATTATTCTTATGCATGGCTGAGGATTTAGACCAATTTAAGCAAATTAATGTCATTCTGGCACCACTCCACAAATTTTTCTGACATACCTCAAGAAGAACAATTGTCCTTGTCTCCTTTTCTCTCTATAGAGTATAGCTGTTAATTATCAAATTTACCCACACTAATTTGAGAAATGCAAAGTAATTCACAAAAAGGGACAGTTCTTGGGATTATAGGCTCTCACTTAAAACCAAACTGTTGAAACGTTGGCGTCTCAAAATAAAATTTGCTGGGGCAACTTACGTAAAATTCAATAGAAAAGGCTGTTATCTCGAAATTCCGTCATCATTCATATCATATAATCTCAATTGTACCACCAGCAGTTAAAAGAAAGAAAGGCATTATTTCCTCTGGTTTGACAAGGATGAAGCGGGAAGTGAGCGGGGAATTCATCAAACGGCATTGGGGTTCTTTGGGAAACGTCTGATATTTTTATGTACCCGGGATCTGGTGGAAAAATGGATTGTCAGCACCAGCAGCCCAGGAAATGATCTAGTGCACCCACATGCTGGGGGTTTGGGTCCCTCAGGTTCCACCGGACCAAATAAATGATGATCTGGTTCCGATTGTGATCGACGAGCTGGGAATTCATCATGAATGAACTCAGCTATATACAGGATCTGGTAAATTGATCCTCGAAGTCAGAAAAAAATTTATATAACACACAAAAATTGAGTAGAGAAACTCCCTTTCATCAGCAGGACATGAATTGAAAATTTTTAATTCTTGATTTTGAAAAAAAAATCTAAGAAAAAAATCTTAGAGGACCAAGATACTGTACTAGAATTATTAACTTTGTATAATTTCTCATCAAAAATTCTTTCCAAATTGAAAAATCAACTAAACCTTATCTGAGTGCAGGCTGAACACCTTGTGCTTTAATTTGGGTTCAGTTATTGCTGTGTGCTGCAATTCTTATTTCTGACATTTTTATCAGAAGAGGGAAGAAAGTGTATGTATTTACATCAGTTGTGCAATTGTACATTTTGGGATGTACAATATTTTTATTTTTATTTAACATCCATATGTACAGCTTATTTCTCTGTTTTCCATTCTGATGAGATGGAATGTGTTTGGATGAATTTGGGTGGGGAAGGGAAGGGTTTTAGTTGTGGGAACATTGCTTGAACCTTGTGAATGCTGAAAAGGAGAAAATGAAGCTTGCAGTTCAATTCAATTATATTCAAAAAATTTACATTGAAGAGAACGTTTTCACCTGGTGTTGAGAGCAGAAAAACTTTAAAATTCCACATTCAAAACTGAATAAAAATTATGTGATCATATTTGTGATTGAAAGCTTCATTCAAATCAAACTGCATCACTTGCCAGAATGTGTCCTGATCAAAGCTCTTGAAACTTGTTGACATGATTAATGTTCTCTGATTTCTTTGATTGTTGAAATTGTGGGGAACAGGTAGACACAAGTATAATCCTTGTTTTACTTCCCTCATTCTAAACACCCTGCAGCATGCAGATTATATTTGGCTATATGTACTACAATCATACAAATTCTGATTCACCCATTATTGTCTCAAAAATTGAGTAAAATGAACTGAAAATGCATTGGTAAAGCATGAAAGTTCATTTTTTGATGCACCAGAGTATATACTGTAAAGTGGAATTCTACTCACCTGTCTTCAAAAATTGTCCAAAAACGGAAATATTTTTATAAACCTCTGGTCTAAGGAACAATAAGAAGAAAATCAGAAATTCAGAGGACAATCACATGCTGTCTTATCTTTGTGATCCTTTCTCTAATATTTAGTGTGTAACCTTGGATCCACCAAAGAACTCTATCAGTTTCTAATCAGTGATGAGAAATGAGTTGGTCTTTTCTTATGCGTTTTGAAGATAATGTGTGGTACAGTGGAAATATGTGTGACTCAACTTCTCTGAATTTCCACTCTTCCCATCTATTGCATTCCACAATACAGTGAGACCCCAAGATGCAAACACATTAATTGGTGCATCAAGAGCATCCCAAAGTCAAAATGTTCTTAATTTGAATCTTGTTTTCTCCAAGAGCCTAGACTTACATCATCTAATTTTTCATTGCTGTTTCATGGGAAGAATATTCCTTAGAATTCCATGAAAAATTTTTAAAAATTATCTGCCAAAGGAAACTGATTCAATCAATATCTTTCAACACAGCAATAAGGACATTTGGAGCATTGATTACTGTACCTGTATACAGTATAAGCAATGTTGGCATTTGCTATAAAAATAAAATTAACGTAAAAAATATAAAGGACATTCCCTCTATGCTGGTGTTAATTTTCATAATTCTAGCTAAAAATGGATGGTAAAAGTATTAGAGAAGTGCCAAAAAAGTTGTCTTACATACAGGGTTGGAAATATCTGTTTCTTGTGATTTGGCCAACAACATACAGTATTTGCAATTTTAGCGCACAATGTCTGCATGTTGAGTCATGCCGGACCCTTTTATGCATTTTTTTAATCTAGGAGAATAAGTGTTGGTAGCTTAAATTGTCTGAACACTGAGGTGTCTGCATGTGCATGGGGGTCTCACTGTATATGATACTGCATGCTGTGAATTGTAGCAAGCAGTTTAAGGAAATTGCATAAATTCAAATTTCTTGAGGCACTCTCTTTTGAAAAGGTGGAATTCTACTTACCTAAACTGAGATTTATACAAAAAAAAACACATACGTTTGTATAAGCCAGTGCACAATAAGGAACAGGAATAATAACATAAATTTAGAGAGCAATCACATGCTTTTCATCTCTATCATCCTTCCTTCAATATTGAACATGGAACCCTGAATATTTTTTCAAAGAAAGCTATCATTTCCTAAATGATAATATGACATTGGTATTTTTCATTTAATAAATTTAAAATATCTGCTTTTTGGGAATAAGTGCAGCTCAGCTTCTCAGAATTTCCACTACTCCCATCTTTTGTTTCCCCACATTATCTTATCTGAAAGAGAGCATATTCACCTGAAACATGGAATGTGCACTCTGGGCAGTAGATTAAAACTGTGAATTGTAATGATCAGGGGTTATCATATCTCATTCTACTGGTATCTGTCTTTTTCTGAGAAGGAATGATGGGAATCTATTCTGAATCAGAGAAGATTACATTCACCAAACAGCGTAAGAATAAGTGGATCTTGGGTAGCTCATCTAGCATTGCTTTTTGAGTTTCATACTGCTGACAGATTTGTGAAATTGTTCTTGAAAAATGCGGAGAGTGACCAAATTCCTTCTTCTTGTGGCAATAAGTGGATTTCTTGCACTCAATAACTTTGATACAGGTGAGAGGAAACATATTGTGATTTAACTTTATGGAACTTCCTGATTTTGGGAGTTGGTGTATTTCTTCAACCCTTGGGCAGCAGTCTTTTCCATTGCCAGGTGGTGCCAAGATTTTTTGCAGTCTTCTGAATTTTGTTAGGACCAAAAATCACCAAAACGCAGCTTTGGCTGAATAGCCAAAGTTGGGTAAAATCCTGAAAAAAGAAAACTATTGTCCTGATAATCCCCCAATGCTAATTTTATGGCAGGAATGCAGAAAAATGCCACCCAGGAGTAAAATTTTTTGTTTTCCTTGCGTTGTCTGTAGACCAAGGTAATAAAATATACATGTCCAATAAGAAGGCATTTCAAATATATTCAAATCACAGGATATTTGTACAATCACACAAACCAAAATAACTAAAAAAAAATTTAGTAGATTAAAAAATTAATCTAAAAAACCTCGTTTTCAAAAAGCAAAAAATAACCTTAAACGTGTATTAAGAAACAATGCATTGAAACCAAATGAATGGATACTTTGAGTCCCACATAGTGCTTCAATTCATAAATTTCAATTGCAGGATTTCTTTTTCTTCTGTGTTAAAGTACAGAGGGATTTAAGAGAGTCTTGCTAAAACGTATTGCAAGCCTCTCTGAGAAATACTCCTTTTTCTACTCCTTATTTGCAACACAGAATTTTGCGGATAAATCCTGGCAACGCTGCCCAAGGGTAAAGGAGATTCTTTTGGTAAAAGGCCCACTAATAATAAAGATGCATCTAGCAGCATAACACAGAAGAAAAAGAAATCCTGCAATTGAAATTTATGAATTGAAGCACAATGTGGGACTCAAAGTATCCATTCATTTGGTTTCAATGCATTGTTTCTTAATGAAGTCAAGGCAAGATGTACACATTTGAATCCATACTCATGTCCAGTGGATGAGTTATGAATTTGGGTTTTAGGTTGAGTGATTGTCAGTAAAAAAAGAATAAAATAATCCATGCTCTATTATAAAAAGCAGTAAAGGATATATTGTACTTCAAAACAAGGCTGATAATATAAGAAAATCAGCTTCCGAAGTTTTTCATAAAGCAAGACTCTTCTCAATATTCAGAGATACAAATTTGAAACTCTCTGATGAGGCCAAGTCTGAAATTTGACAGAATGTTTTGCACATACAGTACAGTTTTTGGACAACGCAAAAAAGTATCCTCTTTGACAAAAGCCAACCATAGGATAAACCTTTGAGGTTACGGAGAAATGACTATATTTTGTTTGCCCCTTACCCTGTTAAAAAAAATACCTGCTGCGCAAAGTGCTAAATATCTTCATTCATGCACTTTAATTTAGAAATAACAAATAACCAAATCATCAACCTGTGATATTATAGGAAAATTGAAAATAACCTTCCATATTCATTCACAGAGCCATTCAGGGTAGCAGAAAATGATTCAACAAGAAATGATGACCAGAACAGCAGGAAGCACTCTATGAATGAATACAGGAATAGTTTCAAGAACAAATCAGCAAGAAATATTCCAGAAAATGCCAGATCATCAGAAATGCAAACCTTTTCTGAAGATGACCCAAATGAAGAAGTGGAATGGTTTGATCAGGGACTGTTTGAATTTGAAGCTTCATTGAAGCCTAAGGCATCAGGAGACTCAGCAGCTGCAGAGAGTGCAGCAGAAACTAAAACAGATCCTTCCACTGATGACACTGATACTACACCAGATCCTTCCACTGATGACCCTGATACTACACCAGATCCAACTTCTACTAATGATGCTGATACCACTCCAGATCCTTCAACTGGAAACACTGTTTCAACCCCAGATACTTCCACTGGGAACACTGTTACTTCACCAGATCCTTCAACTGGAAACACTGTTTCAACCCAAGATACTTCCACTGGGAACACTGTTACTTCACCAGATCCTTCAACTGGGAACACTGTTTCAACCCAAGATACTTCCACTGGGAACACTGTTACTTCACCAGATCCTTCTACCCTCAACACCATTCCTACAACAGATCCTGAAGGCAGTGACAATCCTCCAGGCCCTACTAGTCCCAGCATTTATTCCACACAAGTGCCATTCACAGATGACAGTATTACCACTGCAGACAGTTTGATTGGGACAACAACAGATCAGACTTCAGTGAATCCTTATGGAACATCAGAAAGTGAACAGTATTCACAGATGACATTACCTTCAACATCAACAACAAGCAAGCCTGTGTCTAAGAAGTGCCCCAAAATTCAGCTTGAAGACCTTGGAGATGGATATTTCTTTCCTGAATCAGATCCAGGAAAGATGATTGTAAAAGAGTGTCCTTCTGGGATGCAGGGTTCAGCTGAATGGTTTTGTCAAAAATCTGGTGACTGGGAAGGTGATCTTCCCAATCTCAGGTGATTTTAAATTCTTGGAGTATATGTTATTGTCATATTCTTATCAACTTTACTGCTTTTTTTTCAGTGGCTGCACCAGCATCAACTTTCAGGGTGTATTAGATGATCTCCAAGACACTGACAATGTAGCGAATGTCATTGATGAAGTGACATCAATGATTGAAAATTCCCAAGGTGGCCTGGCACCTGGTGACTTGGAGGGCTTGTCAACATTTTTTGAACTAAGTGGGTCAAGGCAGGAAAACCTCCTCCAATCTGCTCAATCAGATGAGGAGAAATCCACAATTTCAAGAAAATATTTGGAGTCTCTCAGTTCTCTTGTTGGAGCTTCTCTGAAGAATCCAGTAAAATTGCAAAGTGCAGAATACAACTTGAGATCAAGAGCTGGGAATCAAATCCTGATTCAATTAGAAAGTGCAAGTGCATCCTTATTACAATACCTACGTTTTGGAGAAGAAGTCAAGCACTCTGAAGTCTCTCATGGTATGCCATTAATATTATGATGCGTTTTTTATTGTTGTGAATCTATTTATTTATTTTTCTTACAGATTTGGTGTTGAAGAACCTCCCCAGGGATGGAGCATTTTTCAAGCTGGATCAAACAGAAACTTCCTTTTCAAATGGAAATGCTTCAATTCAAATAATGAGTGATTGGATCTTAGATAATTTGGAAAATACTGAAAAGTCTATCAAGATATCTTTCCTTGGGTTCAAGGACATGCAAAAACTTCTGAAGCCAAATGAGTGAGTTCAATTTTATGAAGGACAAACCTATAGCAGAGAAGCAATTCAGTCAAACCCCAATAAGACGCCACCATTTTAGTAGCATTTTTTGCACTTTAAAGGGGTTGGCAGTTTATGGGGTATTTTAGTTAGAAATTGATCAATCAAAAATACTCAATTTCCCTCCCAAAGAAACATAAATACGACAGCATCTTCTGGAAACTTCAGTAATTTTCCAGAGTATTGCTGTGATTAATGGGTTAATCTTTCACAAAATAATTTTGATGCATCAATTTATTCAAATTTTTCTTCAAAGTTTTCAAAAAAATGCACATAATTTTCTTCTTCTCATAAATACAAGATCCTTGACAGAAATCATAATTCTACGCCAATGTTGGATTATAACCGGGACAAAACTCATGGAAAAATGCTCTTTTGTTTCATCACTAATGATAGCAAATGGCAGTTGGTGTCTTATTAAGGTTTTCTATGGCATTTCACATAGAGGAGATTTGTTTCATTCAAAATATCTGTGGTTGCCAAGTGTACTGCTTTATCAGGGGGTGTTTTGATGAGGCTTGAATATACTAGTACAGGCGGTACCTTTCAATTTGGCATCTTGCAATTTGACCATCCAACAATTTGACAGTTGAAGTAGCTGTGATGTCCACTTACAATTCAGCCTCTTGCCCCACAATTTTACCTGCACAGAGACTTAAAATGTCAAATTTGATGTAGAGAACGTTGAATTTAACATTGTCTCACAATTTGATGGCTTTGCATTTTGACCCTCACCCAGCAACAGATTATGGTTGCACTGTAGGGCACCACCTGTAGACAGATAGACAAACAAGCTCCATTTGCTGCTTGTCATTGTATAAACATTTCAAAAATTGTTTCCAATGTTCCATCCTCCAAAACCCTTATCTCTTCATTCACATCATTCAAAGACATTCCAGTATAGATGAAAGGAAAAAATAAGCCTGAAAATCCTCAAGAGTGAAAACATCATATGCTATGGGTATTCAGCAAAAATACATAACAGAACATAGAAATAATGCTTGAAGATTAGGGATGGATGAATAAAAGGCTTTCTGATCAAGAAAAATCAAAGAAAATATCAATAATAATCACAGCTCAAGGCAATTCCCAAGCACAAATTAGAAATTAGAGCAAAAGGTGTTCAGCCTGTTCCCAGATAAGTTTCAATCATTGATTTCACAATTTGAAGATAATCTTTGAAGGTACATCAAATACAGCTGAATAAACTGTTTGGTCCTCCAAGGTTGGATAAAGGACCTTTTTTCAAGTTTTAAAAAACTGAAGTCTTTTTGAAGCTCACAACTGTGATGGTGGAATGCCAGGCATAAAAAAGAAGGTGCTTGGGTGATGCTGTATCCAATCTATTTACACTTCAAAAACTAAACCAAGTATATACTCTTGAACATAAAACTAATAGTGATATCCATTTTATCCATTGGTGGAATGCCAGGCATAAAAAAGAAGGTGCTTGGGTGATGCTGTATCCAATCTATTTACACTTCAAAAACTAAACCAAGTATATACTCTTGAACATTTTTGATTATCACTATAGGTAAAATAGGTATCTTTTAGACGACTACCATCTAGAGTCAGCGAGTTGTGTGAACACTACCCACGAGTCGACCGGTGATCACCCTTCTTTGTCAGGAGTTACTAAAGGTGAGATGCAGTGAAGATGTCCTTCAAAGTAATTCAGCCCTTCATTGCCAAGGATGAAGAAGATTCCATAAATTGTGTGTTTTGGGACACTGCTGAAGCAGCCTGGTCATCCAGTGGATGTCAAACAATTGTGGTAGATGATGAAAATGTGGACTGCTCTTGCAGTCATCTGACCAACTTTGCTGTGGGACTAAACTTGGTTAGACTCCAACCTGAGGTGAGTTTCATGGGATCAATGATCATGATGTGTCTGTTTGAACAGTCTATTCTATGGATTCACAAGTACATTGAGGGAGTCCATTATGTTAATCATACTGCCTATTGATGTGGTGTGAATATAAGATATTAACCTCATGTTTACCATTAATATGTGCTGCATAGTTTTGCAACATGCATTGAAGATATGAAAATTTGAGCTTTTGAAACTGTTTTCAAACTATCATAGCAGTTATATAGGAATAAAGCAATGCAATTTTTTTGAACAGTTATTGGAAAAATTGTGTTGAACTTTCAGAATGTGGTGTATGAGGAAACATATAGAGAGTAAACAAGAGTCTTTGAAAGTTAGCAGCAGGTGAAAGCTATACAATATTTTTTTTTACTTCTTGGTTCATGCAAAAAACCAACATTTATTAGTGATATGAAACCTCTGAACATATGCAAATATCATAATAACTGGAATAAAAAGGTAAAATTCAGTTAAAAAGGTGAGATTCAGAATAAAAATGCTGGGCCATTCTTTCCTGATTCAATGCACTGCTACCATTGCAATTTCATACTTAAGCTAAACTTTTTGGCTGAATCTTTGAAATGGAATAGCTGAAGTACATGAAATTAAGAAAAAATAAATTCAGAATTATATATAAAGTTGGATTCAATTAGTTTCAAGCATTTATAATTCTTAAGTTCAACATGTATTTGATACTAAAACACTGTATCCAGTAACATCTGAACAATTATACATTAATGTAAAAATTTTGCTCTTGGATGTGAGAGGAGAATGGCATGTCTCATATGTATTAGTCAGGGAAAGTTTTTTTCAAATTTTCTTTTAAAAATTTTGGTGGGTGACGTCATTGAGTTGGTGTGGTATCTAAGAAAATCATTGTGGTAACTAGAAGTCCTCATAAATAATTGAACTGGTGGGTAGAAATGGAAAAACCCAAAAATTCTTCAATATGGCCAAACAGACTTTAAAAAGAGAGCAATTATTCCAGCAAATTTTAAAACACAATCAGATGTGCTTTGTACATATTTTTTACACCCTGAGTTGAGATTATATGTTCACACCATTTTTAAAAGTCCTTTGGCAATGCAAGGCATTGTTTCCATTGCACAAAAATGTTTAAAAATTTTCATACTTCATTCCATAAATGTTTCTCTTTCAAAACTTTATTCTGGGGGGGGGGGGGGG